ACAATGCACTGAATCCACTTTGTGGTGATCTTCGGTACATGTGTTTAGGGGTGCCCATGTGGGATTAGATAACCTCTTAAAGTACTTAGGGAGAAAAGTAACCAATGATGCTACCCAGCTTTAAAGTTTGTGAAGAACAAGAAGTACCAGCTCAGCACTATTGGTGCAATAGTGCCACTTGTATCTCGGGGATAATCAACAACTGTCCAATTGGACTTAAGGTCCATTCAATAGGAGTGAGTTCTGCATGGTACTGTAAACATAGCCAACTACACATTGTTTGAGGGATCATAGACAGCAGAGAACAGCCTACTTCTGTCACTTTCTTAGACCTGTTTAATTTCTTACTGTTCATTCTTATTTTTAAAAGTATGCATAGTTATCACCACTCATTTAAAAAAAAGGCTCTTTTTTCAACAGATGGAGACTATTACAACGTTCCACAACTGGTGAAAATACAAAGAATAAGTGACTGAAAGGTGCCTAGACCTCAGTGATACATCTCCATGCAATCTCTATACATAAGGCTCATTGAACATTGAAGGGGAGATGGAACCATTGGAAGAGTCAGAAGAACAAGATACCTGCTGCTAGTTAATGCATTCTAGATATGACAGGGAAGCTAACAGGAGAGATCCACAGTATAGCATCTGAGAAAGATCTGTTTAATGACAAAAGCACTTGACATGCCAATGTGGATGGAGAAAATTTCATGGGGACCCACCTCAAATGAAGACCTATAGGCAATGAATGGATGCCAAGGGAAAGAAAATCAAATGTCTTCATTGCTTTTTATAACACAATTTAAATATATAATTTATACAACATAAAATCCACTTTAGGGGGTTTCCAATTAAATGGATTTTAATAAGTTCACAGGATCTTAACCATCATCATTAATTAATTTTAGGATATTATCAACATTCTTAAATCATACCATTTAATCGCTAAACGTCACTTACTAGTTGTTCCTCCCCCTAGGCACTAAAAGCTACTAATGTGATTTCTGTCTCTATTAACTTATCTATTCTCAACATTTCTGTTGCGAGAATTAAATATGTGAGTGAAATTTTAAGACTGTGTATCTCCTTTCCCTCATTAACCTCTTATGTATTTATTCTGAATGGTCTGATGACCACATGTACTTCATTAAATAACATGTGAAAAGTCTCATTCGTCTTCCCTGTCATTTCCTGATAAAAAACACTCTGGTCTCATATCTCAAAGTATTTATTCATCATTAATGAAGATAAAAAAAACTCTTATGATTCTCAGCCAGATATTTTAGGGAAGAAATATAGAAAATTCATGTTACATCTCTGGGATATATTTCTTGGTAATTATATTATGAGTTTCTAATAACATATGGAATACTATGATGGTCTGACAAAAATATCAAGCACTGTGATAAATATTAGGGTATCATTATATATTTGTTATCTTTATTAAATTCTCCTAATATCAGAACTAGTTCAAGGCAGATAAACTTTCTAAAAGTGATAATATTAAACATGTTTTAGAACATAAAGTGAAGGGCAAAAGGAGTGGGAAGTCTCCAGATTTTTAAATGTATCTACTTAGTCTTAGTATGATTATTTCTCCAAACTCTTGCCACAAGGCAGCTAAGACAAGAAATATATGTTTTCAAAATCGGTACTAATTATGAATGCATACAAAAATTTAGAGTCTAGAAGATATCTCCATAAGGAAAGGCACCAACAGAACAATCATATAGTCCTAATTTCAATCCCTGAAGCCCTGGTTTAAAAATAAGTCCTGATATTAAGATGCAAACCTGTGATCTAAGCACACCTAAAGCAAGACAGGAGGTAAGGCAGGATTACCTAGCAGAGGACCTAGGCTGATGTACACAGTGCAGTGACAGAAACAGAGGAGATGCAGCTTCAGCAAGGTGAAAGGTGAGAACCAACTGCCAGAAGCAACTCTCTGACATTCACTCGTGCACTGTGGGATGTACACACACAAAATTATACAAACATACACACAAAAATGAATGAATAAATAAACATATAATATTTTTCAAATACCACTAATATGCTTAAGAATGTGTACATACACATTGTTTGTGCAT